CGCGCGTCAAAGTTCAAAATCCGCGCGTGCTGCTATGGGCACTATAATGCAAATTTGATCAAAAACATCCCATTTTAAAAATCAAAATAGCTCTTCAGATAGTCAATTGACCCCAACTTTTATATCATGGTTGGAAAAAACATGAGTTGGAGATATGATTTCATGTGTCATTTGACCCTCAATTAACTCATGACGCCATCATAATGGCCTCCGAACTCAAAATTTCAATTTGCATATTATGACGTCAACATATTTTTATAAAATTGATTGTATCTCTGTAAATATTAATTCATTTTCTTTCAAATTTTGATATGTTCTACCTGAGAATATTGTCTACAAATGCAGTCTCCACGATATTTCATTTTGACAAGGGCATCATGGCGTATTTTTTGCGATTAAAGCAGGCATGTCAATTTTTCACATTTTGCGTGTATTCTCTATGAGACATGACTTTTTCTCAAAACTGGATTCTACATTCTCGTCTTTCGCGAGCAATATCTCCATCGTTTTATCTTTGTTTATGCTGAGCTTTGAGTATGATGTAGCTGAGAGAATGAGCTATCACGAGTGTGCCCTTTATTTTTCGATCAGATGCCGGGATCATGCTCATATTTCACTTATAAAGTGGGATTTGTGAATTCTATTTTCCGTTTACGTGTAATCTCTATGGGAAATGTTTTGGCATATCGGTAACGCACTTGACTTCCGACCTCGAGGTCCCTGGTTCGAGTCCGGGAGTCTCCAACAATTTTTTTCTTTTCTTTTTTTTTTTTCTTTTTTGACTTTTCAATGATCATAAAATTGAAAACAGACCACCTAATTCGTCCCCATGACGAATTAAATTTCTAGTTATTATTTATTTTTATTTCTTCCCGTTTTTTGTTTATCGGTTAACTCAAGATCGGTTGTGTTAATTTCTTTTAATTTTTACACAGTCATAAGTCATTGTCATGAGACGTGACAGGAACATTTTCAAGGTCATCAATTTATCGTGACGTCATCCAGGCGCCATTTTGTGAAATCACGTTATCCATCATATCTTCATGATGGATCAGCAAAGATCATTCATATTCATATCACATATATTTCAGGTCAAGGGTCAACAGATCATGTCATCAAAGGTCACATAAAGGTCACGACGCGCGCGTACGTGCGCGTCAAAATTTAAAAATGCTCAAAATTACTTAACTATTGAAGGAGAGTACGAATCAGGTCATTTTAAGCATTTCAAAATTTTCCGTCCGTAAGTGTCAACGCGCGCGTTGCGCGCGCTCACAACGCGCGGAAAAGGTCAAATTCATTTTTTTTTACATGATTTAGATTTCTCTTACCGTAAATGACAATTTACATTAATTTCAGTCACTCTTGACCTTTTATAAGGCCGTGAGCGCGCGTCAAAGTTCAAAATCCGCGCGTACTGCTATGGGCAATATAATGCAAATTTGATCAAAAACATCCCATTTTAAAAATCAAAATAGCTCTTGAGATAGTCAATTGACCCCAACTTTTATATCATGGTTGGAATAAGTATGAGTTGGAGATATGATTTCATGTGTCATTTGACCCTCATTTAACTCATGACGTCATCATAATGGCCTCCGAACTCAAAATTTCAATTTGCATATTATGACGTCAGCATATTTTTGTAAAATTGATTGTATCTCTGTAAATATTGATTAATTTTCTTTCAAATTTTGATATGTTCTACCTGAGAATATTCTCTACAAATGTAGTCATCATGATATTTCATTTTGACAATGGCATCATGGCGTATTTTTGCGATTAAAGGAGGCATGTCAATTTTTCACATTTTGCGTGTATTCTCTATGGGACATGACTTTTTCTCAAAACTGGATTCTACATTCTCGTCTTTTGCGAGCAATATCTCCGTCGTTTTATCTTTGTTTACGCTGAGCTTTGAGTATGTTGTAGCTGAGAAAATAAGCTATCACAAGTGTGTCCTTTATTTTTCGATCAGATGCCGGGATCATGCTCATATTTCACTTACAAAGTGGGATTTGAGAATTCCATTTTCCGTTTACGTGTAATCTCTATGGGAAATGTTTTGGTATATCGGTAACGCACTTGACTTCCGACCTCGAGGTCCCTGGTTCGAGTCCGGGCGTCTCCAACAATTTTTTTCTTCACTTTTTTTTCATTTTGACCTTTCACTGTACAATCTCCTTTGAATTTTAAAACACGTAGTGTCGTATCTTATATGTCCATAAATACGAAAGTAATACTGCTAGAAGTATACGCCACTATGCTCGTTGCTAAGCTTACTTTATTCTGCCGGAGAGGGCAGTATTTCACTGTTTCATACAGACAAGTTTCTGATGGACATAGCAAATATCACATTACTACACCTCTCCCTTCTTTGAGATAGAGTTTCCTATAATGTTGGAGAAGGTGCATTAAGCCTGTTGAATACATACAGTATCGGCTGAATCGGTTTGGATCAAATCTAACAACCAAAATATATATGAGTGATTTGGCTATTTTCTTCTGAGAGTTGTTAGCACTTGTATTTGTGTAAAATCCTATACGTACGAGGTTAGTTATATTTGAGATCAACTGAATGCAAACACAACAATAAAAGGACTGCTGTCTTAAACCTGACATTACAAAATCCTTGTCGAAATCATGAACTGCAAAATACTAGACAAAGTCAAATAGAACTTTCATAACACTTACAACCTTGAAAACACCTTATTGAGGTCTGCTATAACACCAAACTGAAACAATAGAGTATTGTGCAACATTTGGCATTTCAACATCATTTGCAACAAAGTTGTGCATATATGTGTACTTGCACAGCATGACAATAAAATAAATGTTATTAACCAAAATAAATCATTTCTGTTCTTGTACTTTTTCTTTTGGAAACTAATGATGCAAAGAACAGTCCAAGTTAAAAATACATTGTACCACACAATATACAACAATAATGCTTTTGAACGAAATTACTAATAAACACATCATGTTTGTACTTTCAGTGTACAGTAATTTGACATACATACATGTACGTACATTTAAATCATTTTTTGTTTGTTTGTTTACAATATCTGTTTTGTTCGTGAAATATTAATCCTCTTTCCATCCTTCCTCTCTCCCTTTTCAATGAACAATAATGACAAACATATCAAAATAATCATCATCATTCGAACAGTATCTCTATATAAAAAAATAGACTGTTGCATTATTGAACTCACAACTGAAAATTGCTTGAAAAAAGAATTTAGGAAAAAAACATTCCGTATCAATCAGTGTGATGGAGTGGAACTGGTAGATGCGAAGCAGTATGAAAAGATTACCGGTAAAGACAAACATCAGAATGACAAAATGCATAAACAACCATTGGGGGGGGGGGTCAAACTAGCTACTGAGATGAAGGCATTTCATCCAAAACATGCATGTAACCAAAACACTATGAGTACTGTCAAAAGGGAGGAACCGAAATATAGTTCTATGAGACATAGTCTGTCAAATATCGAGGCCGTCGCCGGGTACGAGAAGGGCGACTGGAGGGGGGCAGGATGTCGGGAGTGAATGTTAGGGGCAGGGGGAACATCATAGTGATGTCCTGGAATGAGAATCCCTTCCTCGTCGCCAAATGTCGTATCTTATATGTCCATAAATACGAAAGTAAATACTGCTAGAAGTATACGCCATTATGCTCGTTGCTAAGCTTACTTTATTCTGCCGGAGAGGGCAGTATTTCACTGTTTCGTACAGACAAGTTTCTGATGGATATACATAGCAAATATCACATTACTACACGTAGAATCGCAAATAATGTAATAAACAACCATATTTACTTTATTATTACCCTATTATCACTTGATCCATTACTTTTCGCCTGTAATCCCCATGGGAGATGACTTTTTCTCAAATCTGGATTCTACATTCCTGTCTTTTGCGAGCAATATCGCCGTTATTTCCGCCTGGTTTTTGTTGATTTTGGAGTATGTTGTAGCTGAGACTCTATGCTATCTAAATGTCCCCTCATCTTTTCAATCAGATGTCAGAATCACGCTCATGATCATCATCATGATCATCATGATCATGATCATCATCATGGTCTGATCATGATCATGATCATCAACATCATCATCATCATCATCATTAACATTATCATTATAATCATCATCATAATCATTACTATCAAGATCATCATCATCATCATCATCATTATGATCATTGTTTACATTTACATATCGTTAAAATTTCTCTCTTTTTCTATATGGGAGATGACTTTTTCTCAAATCTGGATTCTACATCCCTGTCTTTTGAGAGCAATATCGCCGTTATTTCCGCTTGTTTTTTAAAATATATTTGAGCATGTTGTAGCTGAGACTATATGCTATCTAAATGTCCCCTCATTTTTTTCAATCAGATGTCAGGATCACGCTCATGATCATCATCATCAATATCATCATCATCGTGATGGTCTGATGATCATCAACATCATCATTAACATTATTATTATTATCATCATCTAACATTATCATTACCATCACCTTCATGTTCATTATCATCATGATCATCATTGTCTATATCTATATAACTTCTCCCTTTCTCTATATAGTAAATATTCAAATCTATTTATGCTAGTAGAGTGCCTCGATTGCATCTCTTTCTCTTTCTCCTCTCTCTTGCTATGTTCCCCTTCTCCTCTCTTGTTCTGCCCCTCTCTCTTGCTTTGTTTCTGCATCCCCCTCTCTCTTTCTCTACTCTTCACCCTCTCCCTTCCTTCGTCTCACTCCTTCCTTGCCTCCCTCTTTCTCCCTTGCGATGTCTCGATCTATCTCTGCCCTTCTCTTTTGTTATACTCTCTCACCCTCTCCCTATTCCGCCTCTGACTCTCGTTCTCCCTCTATTATGTCTTCCAGTGTTCCCCAATCTTCTTTAACTTTTTCTTCTAACCTTTGTATTCTTGTTTCACCCCTACCATGTACTATAGAGAGAAACATGAAATAAAGTCTATTAGTAAACAGGTCTATTCATTGTTAAATTCATGTTCAAAGCACTAAACAAAGCTTATCAAACCAAAGTCAAAGCTAAATTGCATAGACCTATCTACATGCATGTAAATGACATTCTGCACCAAACTTAACATCACGCTATTTCCTTGGCGATCTAAAAAAGAACCGCAATGCAATATTACAAATGGTAATCACCTATCATCTTCAAACACATTTTAAAAGAAATAAATTTTAAAAACAGCATATCCAATTAAATTTGATATACCAAAATAAAAGCACATACTGAAAAGAGCAGCATTGTACAAATCTCTAAAAAGGGCATTTTAACATGTATATATATTCAACAGAAATGGAATACATATATAAAACAGGTACATAAACAAGATACCTACTGATTATATGAAAGGCCCCCTACATAGCAAGTGAGATATAAGTTCAGATAAACACAATAAAAATAAAACTAAAAAACAATGTACATTATGGATAATCCCTAACAGCCCTATATACCTCTTTGTTACAGCAAGCAAGACACTGCTATGTATAGTGAATGCAGTAGATATTGACAGTTGATCGTAAGGTACCACTATATATGGGGTAAATGTTGCAAATAAACTGACATTATAATCATAATCCAATATTGACTATTCACAAAACAAACTGGATATGTGACCTCTAATGACATAAAATTGTAGTGTACAAACATGTGCCATTGAACCCCAATCTTCTTTAACTTTTCCTTCTAACCTTTGTATTCTTGTTTCACCCCCTACCATGTACTATAGAGAGAAACATAAAATGAAGTACATTAGTAAACAGGTCTATTCATTGTTAACCAAAGTCAAAGCTAAATTGCATAGACCTATCTACATGCATGTAAATGACATTCTGCACCAAACTTAACATCACGCTATTTCCTTGGCGATCTAAAAAAGAACCGCAATGCAATGTTACAAATGGTAATCACCTATCATCTTCGAACACATTTTAAAAGAAATAAATTTTAAAAACAGCATATCCAATTAAATTTGATATACCAAAATAAAAGCACATACTGAAAAGAGCAGCATTGTACAAATCTCTGAAAAGGGCATTTTAACATGTATATATATTCAACAGAAATGGAATACATATATAAAACAGGTACATAAACAACATAAGTTCAGATAAACACAATAACAATAAAAACTAAAAAACAATGTACATTATGGATAATCCCTAACAGCCCTATATACCTCTTTGTTACAGCAAGCAAGACACTGCTATGTATAGTGAATGCAGTAGATATTGACAGTTGATCGTAAGATACCACTATATATGGGGTAAATGTTGCAAATAAACTGACATTATAATCATAATCCAATATTGACTATTCACGAAACAAACTGGATATGTGACCTCTAATGACATAAAATTGTAGTGTACAAACATGTGCCATTGAAAATCATAATCGTGTAATATATGACAATATAACAAATTACAGTGAATTGTCTTTCGCTGTACTACTAAGATCTGTTATCCTGATGTTAAAAAGAAGACAAACAGTAACTGTTATCAATGATATCCATCAGATTCTGTTTCATATATCAGCAACATCAACCAATATAAGAATTACGGTAATGCCAAGATAAGAAGAGTGACATGCATGTATAACTTCTTTTCCCCAAGGAGCATGCATAAGATCTATCTTTACAATATATCACTCAAAACACTGTGTGAATACAAGGATTTACAAACTTACAGAAAAATAAACGTGTTAAATCCCAAAATCTTGCAATGTATGTGCAAAGTTAAAACACAAATGTAATAAAATACATCATAAATGGCGCTTTGTTTCTGCATCCCCCTCTCTCTCTACTATTCACCCTCTCTCTTCCTCTGTCTCAAATAAGATACAACTATAAAGGAATGAGAGCGTAAAAGGAATTGAACAATCAGAAACAAAAACTATCATATAAAAATACATGTAGTTACATGGAAGTGCACACAAAATCCCAAAATATCTTGTGTGGAACAAAGGTATATGTTTACATTGTCATACCAGTAAAAATAAGACTAAAATCACACAGAAACATGGTATCAGAAAATAAATGTAAGAATCAGAGGTGGAAAAATGGACATGAACACACGTTAGTATGAATAAAGAAAAAAAAAGTATGCTGAGCCATACAGAGTGGCATTCAAAATGTCTTGGTCGAGATCGAGGCTACTTGTGCCACAATGCTCTTATGACAGAGCCGTAACCACTCCCCAAGGCCTAGTCTTCGTTGAACCAGGTATCACCGGAGGGCTGAAGTCCTGGGGTGATGTTACCGCTGTGTGTTGGACGATGAGGACAGCCTTCTGACTCGAGGGCGGTAGTTTGTTTGAACTGGTGAGCAAAGGGATATGGTGGTGCACGGTCATTGGTGACTAGGGTTGTAGATAGAAGTGAGCTTTGCAACGTTGCGCTTTGCAGTCATCTGAAGAAGTTATCTGAAGAAGTGAAGTTTAAAAAAATCATTTGAAGATTAGGAATATGAACAGTACTCAATTTTTCTTTCTTAAAAGTGTTAACCTTATTAATGAACGCATTTGACATTAAAAGTGTTCTGTCTATGCAACCCCAATGTAACATTTTCAAAGCAAAAAGATATGTCATAGAATTGCCAATTTACTCCAGGTGTGCCAATTTTGTGGGAATCAACAGTGTAGTGGCCGAGGTCAACCATCTATCCGGAGGAGCTTGAAATAACTCTGTACAGTAGGGTTAGGCTTTTTCAAACATTTTAGTTTGGCAATCTTTCCTTACCCTGTGAAGGTCCTGATACATTACATGTATATGCTGGTGTTCCATACTTCTGCCACAATGCTGTTTTGGTGACAGAGCCGTAAACACTCCCCAAGGCCTAGTCTTCGCTGAACCAGGTATCACCGGAGGGCTGAAGTCCTGGGGTGATGTTACCGCTGTGTGTTGGACGATGAGGACAGCCTTCTGACTCGAGGGCGGTAGTTTGTTTCAACTGGTGAGCAAAGGGATATGGTGGTGCACTGTCATTGGTGACTAGGGTTGTAGAAATGAGCTTTGCAACGTTGCGCTTTGCAGTCATCTGAAGAAGTTATCTGAAGTGAAATAAAAAAAATCATTTGAAGATTAGGAATATAAACAGTACTAAATGTTTCTTTTTTGAAAGTGTTAACATTACTAATGAACGCATTTGACATAAAAAGTATTCTGTCTATGCAACCCCAATGTAACATTTTCAAAGCAAAAAGATATGTCATAGAATTGCCAATTTACTCCAGGTGTGCCAATTTTGTGGGAATCACTAGTGTAGTGTCCGAGGTCAGCCATCTATCAGGAGGAGCTTGAAATAACTCTGTACAGTAGGGTTAGGCTTTTTCAAACATTTTAGTTTGGCAATCTTTCCTTACCCTGTGAAGGTCCCGATACATTACATGTATATGCTGGTGTTCCATACTTCTGCCACAATGCTGTTTTGGTGACAGAGCCGTAAACACTCCCCAAGGCATAGTCTTCGCTGAACCAGGTATCACCGGAGGGCTGAAGTCCTGGGGTGATGTTACCGCTGTGTGTTGGACGATGAGGACAGCCTTCTAAATCGAGGGCGGTAGTTTGTTTGAACTGGTGAGCAAAGGGGTATGGTGGTGCACGGTCATTGGTGACTAGGGTTGTAGAAGTGAGCTTTGCAACATTGCGCTTTGCAGTCATCTGAAGAAGTTATCTCAAGAAGTGAAATTTAAAAAAATCATTTGAAGATTAGGAATATGAACATTACTCAATTTTTCTTTCTTAAAAGTGTTAACCTTATTAATGAACGCATTTGACATAAAAAGTGTTCTGTCTATGCAACCCCAATGTAACATTTTCAAAGCAAAAAGATATGTCATAGAATTGCCAATTTACTCCAGGTGTGCCAATTTTGTGGGAATCAACAGTGTAGTGGCCGAGGTCAACCATCTATCCGGAGGAGCTTGAAATAACTCAGTACAGTAGGGTTAGGCTTTTTCAAACATTTTAGTTTGGCAATCTTTCCTTACCCTGTATATGCTGGTGTTCCTTACTTCTGCCATAATGCTGTTATGATGACAGAGCCGTAAACACTCCCCAAGGCCTAGTCTTTGCTGAACCAGGTATCACCGGAGGGCTGAAGTCCTTGGGTGATGTTACCGCTGTGTGTTGGATGATGAGGACAGCCTTCTGACTCGAGGGCGGTAGTTTGTTTGAACTGGTGAACAAAGGGATATGGTGGTGCACTGTCATTGGTGACTAGGGTTGTAGAAATGAGCTTTGCAATGTTGCGCTTTGCAGTCATCTGAAGAAGTTATATGAAGTGAAATAAAAAAAATCATTTGAAGATTAGGAATATGAACAGTACTGAATTTTTCTTTTTTAAAAGTGTTCACCTTCTTAATAAACGCATTTGACATAAAAAGTATTCTGTCTATGCAACCCTAATGTAACATTTTCAAAGCAAAAAGATATGTCATAGAATTGTCAATTTACTCCAGGTGTGCCAATTTTGTGGGAATCAATAGTGTAGTGGCCGAGGTCAGCCATCTATCAGGAGGAGCTTGAAATAACTCTGTACAGTAGGGTTAGGCTTTTTCAAACATTTTAGTTTAATCTTTCCTTACCCTGTGAAGGTCCTGATACATTACATGTATATGCTGGTGTTCCATACTTCTGCCACAATGCTGTTTTGGTGACAGAGCCGTAAACACTCCCCAAGGCATAGTCTTCGCTGAACCAGGTATCACCGGAGGGCTGAAGTCCTGGGGTGATGTTACCGCTGTGTGTTGGACGATGAGGACAGCCTTCTGACTCGAGGGCGGTAGTTTGTTTGAACTGGTGAGCAAAGGGGTATGGTGGTGCACTGTCATTGGTGACTAGGGTTGTAGAAATGAGCTTTGCAACGTTGCGCTTTGCAGTCATCTGAAGAAGTTATCTCAAGAAGTGAAATAAAAAAAATCATTTGAAGATTAGGAATATAAACAGTACTAAATGTTTCTTTTTTGAAAGTGTTCACATTATTAATGAACGCATTTGACATAAAAAGTATTCTGTCTATGCAACCCCAATGTAACATTTCAAAGCAAAAAGATATGTCATAGAATTGCCAATTTACTCCAGGTGTGCCAATTTTGTGGGAATCACTAGTGTAGTGGCCGTGGTCAGCCATCTATCAGGAGGAGCTTGAAATAACTCTGTACAGTAGGGTTAGGCTTTTTCAAACATTTTAGTTTGGCAATCTTTCCTTACCCTGTAAAGGTCCCGATACATTACATGTATATGCTGGTGTTCCATACTTCTGCCACAATGCTGTTTTGGTGACAAAGCCGTAAACACTCCCCAAGGCCTAGTCTTCGCTGAACCAGGTATCACCGGAGGGCTGAAGTCCTGGGGTGATGTTACCGCTGTGTGTTGGACGATGAGGACAGCCTTCTGACTCGAGGGCGGTAGTTTGTTTGAACTGGTGAGCAAAGGGGTATGGTGGTGCACGGTCATTGGTGACTAGGGTTGTAGAAGTGAGCTTTGCAATGTTGCGCTTTGCAGTCATCTGAAGAAGTTATCTCAAGAAGTGAAATTAAAAAAAATCATTTGAAGATTAGGAATATGAACAGTACTCAATTTTTCTTTCTTAAAAGTGTTAACCTTATTAATGAACGCATTTGACATAAAAAGTGTTCTGTCTATGCAACCCCAATGTAACATTTTCAAAGCAAAAAGATATGTCATAGAATTGCCAATTTACTCCAGGTGTGCCAATTTTGTGGGAATCAACAGTGTAGTGGCCGAGGTCAACCATCTATCCGGAGGAGCTTGAAATAACTCAGTACAGTAGGGTTAGGCTTTTTCAAACATTTTAGTTTGGCAATCTTTCCTTACCCTGTATATGCTGGTGTTCCATACTTCTGCCACAATGCTGTTATGATGACAGAGCCGTAAACACTCCCCAAGGCCTAGTCTTTGCTGAACCAGGTATCACCGGAGGGCTGAAGTCCTTGGGTGATGTTACCGCTGTGTGTTGGATGATGAGGACAGCCTTCTGACTCGAGGGCGGTAGTTTGTTTCAACTGGTGAGCAAAGGGATATGGTGGTGCACTGTCATTGATGACTAGGGTTGTAGAAATGAGCTTTGCAACGTTGCGCTTTGCAGTCATCTGAAGCAGTTATCTGAAGTGAAATAAAAAAAATCATTTGAAGATTAGGAATATGAACAGCACTGAATTTTCTTTTTTAAAAGTGTTAACCTTATTAATGAACGCATTTGACATAAAAAGTATTCTGTCTATGCAACCCCAATGTAACATTTTCAAAGCAAAAAGATATGTCATAGAATTGCCAAATTACTCCAGGTGTAAAGGGCCTCCTTCTTTTTTTTCAAAAAAAACAGGACGCTAAACATGTTTTATTTTTTATTTGGCCTTACAATAAATATCAAAATGCAATCTTAACAGCTTCATGGTAACTATAATATGTAGGGATGACCTCTGTTTCCAATAAATCTAGTCCCTTGCTGTACACATGATCTATCAATGTCCCCTTCTCAGTAGTACCATTAACAACATGCTGTTTGTAACCTTTATTACACATCAGCTTGTTTACCTGTGAAGAACCTTTAAACAAATCCTCATTAAAATCTCCCATCACAATACACCTAATGCTTCTTTTGTGTAATGCATCTAGCAAATTGTCTAATGATTCACAGAATGATTTGATACTATATGATGGAGGTCGATAAACAACTGAAATCACAACAGAAACTGGTTTGGTGACAAGAATTGCAATAAACTCTAAGTTGTCGACAGATATGTCTAATCTACTTGAATATGTATTCTTGATATACATTGCAACACCTCCGTGCGATTGTTCTTTGAGTACATTTCCAACTCCAGAATTACAGTATGAAAGATGTCGTGGCTGATGATAAAATCGAAAGTTATCTAAAATAACGTCACAGAGATCATCATCATTAATCCATGTTTCGGTCAAGCAAATACAATCTACATTCACAAATTGGCACTGGGATTTGAAATCGATAAAATGCTGTTTTAATCCTTGTACATTTTGCATTACCAAAGAAAAGTTATAATCGTGAATATCTTCAGAAGTTTCATTCTCGATAAACGGCTTCATAATCTCAATGCGTTCTTTAATTTCTGGATTACAATATATACGTTTAGGATCGAAATGTTCTATCACAAGTCCAGATAACGAAGTAACGCGACTAAGCCCAACATATGCCTGTCCAGATTGAAATACATTTTTTAATGATACAACAGCTTTGTCTAATGTCGAACCTTGTACTTTATGAATTGTGCAAGCATAAGCAAGCTTAAGTGGAAATTGTTTTCTCACATATTTCTTACCAATGGATTCTTGAGACATTTCGATTGAATGAATACCAATATCGGCCTTCTCAAAATTAACTTTGATGCAAACTGGATTCAAATTTGTATGATCCGTTATTATTTCTGTTACATTTCCGAAACATCCATTTGTCAGGCCTTTACTAACATCAATGTTTTTGAGCAGCATCACTCTAGCATTAACTGCAATCCACAGATAAGGAGGCAACTGGGTTTTCTTCTTTGTATAAGGTTTTTCCCGTATTTGATTTCCTTTTTTAACATCTTTGTCCATGTCTTGTGCTTTTACGCATATCACATCTCCACATTTTGTATGCAATAATTTCTTGTTCCAAGCATCTACTTCATTGTTACATGCATAGATATGCAGAGCATTTTCACATTCTTCACCAGTCTCGCAGGACTTGAGCATTGCTAGGTCTTCATCACAGAGAATCTCTTCCCCTTGTTTTACACGTAATCTATTTAAGAGAAAAGCGAATTGGGTATCGTCTTTTTGTCTCATAATGTCTTCAAGTTCTACTTTCTTGAAATTAGCATTCCACAATGCACCATTGAGTGTGTCTTTATATAAAGGAGTTCCTAAGACTGGAGGTAACTGATACATGTCTCCCACAGCAATAACTGAAACACCAGCAAAAGCAGTTTGATCTCGTGATTGTTTTATTTGTCGTAGGCGGCCGTGAATGTAAGACATCATCTTTTGATCTACCATTGATACTTCATCTATGATTAAAATTTGCAATTCAGCCAGCTTATTTCGAAGGACACTTATTTTCTCATCACTCAGCGGTTGATACAGTACTTGTGCATTGATTGGAATAGAAAGAATACTATGTATAGTATGGCCATTGATATTGTATGCAGCTACTCCGGTTGGAGCCATTTTCAATACTGAGACATCATCAGGATGTGGCAACATTCGGGCTAGTATACGTGTTGCTTCATAGTAAAGACATTTGATCAAATGACTCTTTCCAGTGCCAGCACCTCCAGTTAGAAACATATGAAACGGTTCGACCGATTTTCCATTTACTCTATCTAAACACCACTGTCGTATTTTGTAAAAAACACTCTGTTGCTTCTCATTCAAAGACCTCATCAAAGAATGTCCATCTTGTTTGGAAATTTTTACCGAACGTAGTTCGATGCTATAGTCATCTTTTTTCGGTTCATTCTTTAAATCTGGGATATCAAGATCTCCATCACAATCTTCGACATCTACATTTTCTTTGGGATGTTCAAGTCGCTCTACTTCCTTTTCCGGACATAAAAGACCCCATGCATCTTCGTGTGGACCAAATTTGTCAAGATGCTCCTGTGCATGATCAATTGCATCGGCGTTCATTTCAAACTTCTTTCGGTTAGTACAGACAATTGACCAGACTTTCTCCAATTCACGTCCACATATTTTCACAGAACCTGTCTCGTAGAACTCTTCATGTGTTTCAAATGTTGGGGGCTTTAATTGTCCATCTTCAAAATATGGCAGAAAGAGTTGCAAAATGCTCAAATAATATTTTTCGGGTGAGATAATGGGTGAGAATCGGGGATATCTTACAACTGCATCTCCCGTACGAGTACGCTTCTGAATATACCCCAGATCGTTATCTAATTTAAAGACATTTTTACTTCTTGTACTTGGCTTTTGGGATGCAGTTAAGATTCTATACTGAGAACAAAACGTTGCAAGACACATATCACTGAATTCTGCGTTTCTAGGTCGAGCTTTGTATCTGTCGAGCTTGCTAGGCATCCAAACATTCTCATCATCATCATTATCGTTATCTGGTCTGCTTTTTATAACGCTTAATGGTAAACTCATTCTGACAGGGTCGGGTCCAACAGGAATGAATTCCACTTTCCTAGAACATTCTTTCAATCTGAGACTGCAAACACGATAGACGCTTTCTTGAGCAGACACTTCACGATTTTGCATGTACACCTGGCCAAGTTTTTTCATGCTTTCCTTTGCGTTTTCATTTCCCTCTTTCATTTCTGATAGTGTATGACTCAATAGCATTCCGATTTCTCGTTCAGCTTTTGACATGTAGGATACAATATAAGCCACGCATGCAAATACATTTGTTACAAACTGCAAATCCATGTTGGCATTCCAGCTTCTTAGTAGACTTGGATTAAACTGATTTACCCATACATCTTGTATTTCTCTTTTGATGATTATACTTTGTTGTGATGCTAATTCATTATGTGCATTCTCAAATTGATTTTGTGTAATGCCAAGCTTTTCAAAGAGATGGTTTACACTGTTGTACTCGATTCCATTGGATAATGCATCTTTAACTGACTTCAACAATTTCTCTGCATCATCTTTAATCTTTTTAGAAGCTTTAATTTGATCATTGTCCTTTCCCTTATTTTGCACTTTCCCACAATCTTTAGCTGGAATCTCTTCAACAGGTGTTACAATGAATGTTTTTTCAGATGGTGGTCTTGGGAAATTAAATCTACACGCTTTTCCCGTTTTTGTGCAAGATTTAGAATGTTTCTTACTGTGTTGTTGGACCTTGCTCACTATTTCATGTAGTTCTTGATCTTCCTTTTCATCCGGTTTCTGGCAAGAAATGTATTTATCTACGAATTGTACGACATCATCATCTTTATCGATACCCAACTGTGGAGCATTTTGAACCCAGAACAAGGCATGAATGTGAGGGGAACCACGGGCTTGATACTCTACTCTCCAAAATGAATCAACTACTTTACCAATCGGTGCAGCGGGAGATAAAATAACTCTCTTCATAAAAGTGTGAAATCTTTTATCAAACATTCTGGCAACTGTTACTGGATTTGATCTTAAAAGATTACATTTTTCTGTATAGTCTAATTCACTCGATTCCCTGGTGTCTCCTTTTTGTCTAAGCAATGTATTCATTAATTCTGGCCATCTCATATCGGCAGATGAGAAAGAAGCAAACCATGTCGGCTTTCCAAGCTGTCGTACCATTGCGAGAACATCTTTTTGTGTCTTTTGCCAGAATGGAGGTGTTCCACGAATTTGCTTTAAAAATTTATAGCCCTTGTCTGATTTTAGTATTTTTTTAAACTTTCTCTGCATCTTTCAAATCTGAGGCAGTTATTGAAGACGAATCATCTTTTTTGTTTGGACTTTGCCTTAAAGCGATAGAAACTTGTGATATAACCTGTTGAATTTCATAAATATATTGTGCATAAAAGATGTAATCTGTATTCTGAGCAAATCTGTTGTCCACGTGCATCAGTCGGTTATGGAGATAACGTCCTAATGTTATTTTTTCATCTCTTCTATCATGGAATGTTGGTTGACCTTTAGGAAATAATACTGGGAAACATTTGGCCTCATTGCTTTCATCTTGTAGAATTGATACAGGGCTTCTTCCTTCACAAGGAGCACAACATATTATGTCTTCAAAATACTGATCTAATATTTCCTGTCCAATATCTACTGGCTGGAGACACGAGTCTAACTGAATACCGCGTAATCGTTCTTCCATATCGTCTTCAGTGTCCTTGTCATTTATTTTTTTGTGTAGTTTACTGTTGTCTTGCATGTTTTCATTAGTATTTTTGTCTTTGGACAAAATGTAATCAATTTGTTCTTCCATTTCCTTCCAATATTTTGCTAAACGAGCTTTACCACCGATTTCCACTGCTTCTTCCTTTTCATTATCTTTTTCATTTCGTTCAAGTGAGTTTTCCCATTTATCATTTACTGTAACATCAAAATACCACTTATTATTTGCTTTTAAATACTGCAGAGCATTAAGCAAGTTAGATTTATCTACAAATTTGTACTCATAATAGCTTTTGTACGACAATTTTCGTTTGAGTTTAACACGGATCAATTGATCTTCAGTCTGTGGTCTTGGCAACATATCTACTGTTTCATAAGTGTTTGAAGGCACGCACACGACTGGGCCATGGACTCCATTTTGACCACCTTTAGGCAAGGCCATTAACTTCATGAAAGGAATATTCAATGCAATCAAATGCTGTTCTAAATTGTTCAGATTGGCAAGTTCTTTTGGAACTTCATGTAGTTGTAAATTGTTCATATTTGCTTCTGCAGGTACTTTTCCAGCTTGCAATTTTCTATGACAGGTGAAGCATATCCATAGTGACGATCTGGCTGACTGGCCTATTAAACATTTTGACCGGCATTCTGAATTGCAAACATGCAAATATTCTTCACTTATGCATGTCTGAATTTTATAATTACTCTTTTTACATTTCAATACTTGGTTCTCAAAGAGAAGTTTTAAGCATACACAGCACACATATTCTGGGCCATGAGAAATTATCTTTCTAAATTCTTCAAGTACAATATCAAACTCGGACAATTTTACCGTTCGAAGTACAGACCTTTTTCGATTTTGTTTTATTACATTTTGCCTATATTTTTCAATTCTTTTATATTTCATTTTTAAGCTCATCAATTTCTTTTCCTTAAATTCGTTGCCTTTATATCTAATTTTGGACAATGTTTTCATATTTGCCTTTTTTGTATGTTTAAATTGCTGATCGTTGCAATATAATTTTTTCATTTGTTTTTTCATGATATCTTGTTGTTTTTCCTTAAAATTTTCATCGTTGCGATATAATTCCTTTATTCGTTTTTTCATGATATCTTGTTGTTTTTTCTTAAAATTTTCATCGTTGCGATATAATTCCTTTATTCGTTTTTTCATGATATCTTGTTGTTTTTTCTTAAAATTTTCATCGTTGCGATATAATTCCTTTATTCGTTTTTTCATGATATCTTGTTGTTTTTTCTTAAAATGTTTGTTGTTCAAATATTTACTTCTAATTTGCTTTTATGCATTCGTTTAAATAGTTCATCATGCTGGTATTTACTTCTTACTCTACTCTTGTGCATTCGTTTAAATAGTTCATCATGCTGGTATTTACTTCTTATTCTACTCTTGTGCATTCGTTTAAATAGTTCATCATGCTGGTATTTACTTCTTATTCTACTCTTGTGCATTCGTTTAAATAGTTCATCGTTCCAATATCTATTTTTCATTTTAATCCTCATAGCTGTTTTAACATTTTCTTTGAATCCTTCATTTCTCAAATATTTTTGTTTATTTCCATACAAAATTTTCTTTTATAACGTGAATCAAAATGATATTTGGTTTTCATCATATTTAGCTGTATGTTCCTGAAATTTGAATCCTCTTCATACATTTCTTTTTGCCTTTTTTTTACTTCATTTATTTTTTCTATTTTGTAGGTTAAATCATTTTGATATTTATTTTTTCATTTTAATTTTTTTCATTTGCGCATTGTGAATACACTTTTCCTTTTTCTTAATGATTTCATCTTTGGCCAGGGCTCGTTTTTCTCTCATTTGCTGTCTCATGCGCTTCCTTTTTTGATTAGAACTTTGTCTATTTTTACGTTTTTTCTTTCCATGGTCTACATTTCTAACATGAACTTCTCCAATTACTATTAATTCATCATGACTATCAGCACATTCGCTTGCATCAATTCTTAAGCTGTCGTTCTCATTCATTTTTAGCAATTTGGTTTTTCGAATTCCTTGCCAAGGTCGACATCAACGTTTGCATCGCTTTCGAGGTTACTCCATTTCGTTTTCTGCTTAAGATAGAGTTGGAATTCTGAACTTTGTTCACTAAATTTAATCTATCAGAGTCATTCCCGGATTTAGTACAATTTTTGGAATCTCCTTTTTGTTCATTTTCATATTCTGTATTTATAGAGTCATTTCCGTTCAGAAGACAACTATTATTTAGCTGGGATTCTTTTAATTTGGTTAAGCCAATTGTCACACTCTTCAGTTTCAATTCCTGACCGTTATAATGTACATCATGAATGATTGTTTCATTTGCTTCTTCAGGGAAGAGAAATACATTTGGGTTATCAATCATCTTTTGTGGGTGCTGACCGTTATAATGTACATCATGAATGATTGTTTCATTTGCTTCTTCAGGGAAGAGAAATACATTTGGGTTATCAATCATCTTTTGTGGGGAAACACTCTCATCCAATATTTGAACTTCATCAAAGCTTTCACAATGTATGGAACATCCAGAGCTTCCAGACTGACTTTCACTGTGCGTATTTGACGAAGGAATTGGATTACAAACAAAATCCTGTAACTGTGGATAGCCTTTCAAGGTTTCATTCTTACCGGAAGTTGCTTTAGCACATACACTAGTTACTTCATATTCGGTGTGCAGGGGCATCCCATTGATTTTGCTAACCTCATGCAATGCTTGTACACACCTTGCCAGCTTTGAGTACGAAGTACAACACTGTGTCCGTTACAACTCAGGAAACCTCGACTGCTTCTGGAATGTGAATCAAATATAAAGAAACCATCTTGACCAGATAATACAATGAAAGTACTTCTAGCAAATGTCACAAAACATGCATCAGAATCAGTACAGAGTTCTTTTTCGAGTGCTTGCTTCAATGTCATCGAAAGAGACTGGGCCAATATCAATTCATCTCCATCTAACAATCCAGTGACTGGTTCACGGCGTACTATGTTAAACAATTCATTGTACGCATCCAAATATTCAAATAGATCAGATATCAATAAGTATTGGTTGTCGAGTGAAGTGGATCGCCGTATGTAACAGTATAATTCATTACCGTTATTCAAAATCCTGTCTAGATCTGTACTTTTCCAATCATTGACATTTTTTACCTTGCTATACAACAGTGCAGAAAGTGAATTGGTAACACACTGCTTTCCACTTAAGTCACCAAATCTTGTATCACCTTGATTGAATGTCCCTTGGGCAACAAGCGTTATTTGTGTATCGACTCTCGTGCATTTGTCTTTGTGATCACTTTTAAGGGTTTCGTCCTTGGTGTTACGTTCGTTGTGAACGACTGATTCAGACTGATTACTTGCACACTGTTCATATGTCATGTCAAAAAGATTTGCAGTACCTTTCCTCTCATCGTGATTTATCGTACCAGTCTCCAACGTGAGCCTACGTTTTTTCCCTTTGGATCAACATGGTTTTGAAATGTTTCAGGAGACTTATCCACTACTTCATCAATTTCTTCCTCTATCTGCGACTTGGATCTACACTTCTTGAACACATGCTTTACTTTAACATCAGCCTGAATTGATGGACATGGCAAAGTTCTCTTTGACGTTCTATCTTCTTTAGTTGTTCTTGTCTGTTCCAATGAATTGAAATTGACAAAATCTACAGATTCAACAACATTAAAATGAACATTTCCTGTGTACAGTATATAAATTCCCTTTCAGATGTTACAATATTTATTCTTCCAGGTTTCTTTGCAGAGAACAATTGCCAACATGGTACTTGGTCATTGTATGAATAAATATCAGTATCGATTAAATTGCTAAAGCGCTAATTCAGTGTCTGTAGCCCACGTTCCGTCTTCCTTTATTCTACGTTTTCAAAACATATTCTCTGACTGTTCTATATTCTTGCCTCAATGTATTACTAAACATGTCCTTGGTTTGCAATAAATGTTTCACAGTGGCATTTCTTAAAATTGCATGATTATGCTCAGTTCCAGAAATTACATAGGAAATTGCACGAAAGAAACAATTGCCATCACCAGTAATTTGTTTACTCTGTAAAGGAACTCCAATAGAGCTATTTCTATCTAACCTTGAATCACAGCCTTTGCCTATATATCTGATATTCAGTTTTGAACAAATGTTCTGTTTGTCATTATTCTGGAGGGGTACAAATTTGAAATCTTTATCAGGTCTATCACGTAATCCAAGATCTGCTACAAATTCAACTTCTGTTTCTGTTTCATCAGTACATGTGTACATATTAGCATCTATTGCCTTTTCAATGTCTTCATCTTTGATATTTGAATCTGAAGAAGATTCTAAAAGATTCCTTGAATGAGCATGATCATTAAATGACATATCAGTATCATTGTCTGTACCATCTTTTACTGTATCAAAGCTTCTATTCTTCAGGTCATTGTCAAACACTGCATCTTCTTGTACACCATCTGAAACATCTGAAAAATCATTTTTCATCATATCATCATTTTCCAATACCGATTCACAGACATTGTCTACTGGTTCATTTATGGGCATATCTTTTGGTCTATCACTAACATTCAAAGGCATATTGCGTTGTGGTAAAACACTTCTATCGAATAAATCACATCCAGGACTTGTGTCTGTATCACTATCAGATTCTAAAAAATTTCTTGCACACGAACGTTTCACTGGTATGTGAACATCACTGCCACTATCATCGTCTGTTTCAATTTCCCTATTTTCATCAAAATTTGATTTCAACAGATTATTCTTTGAATCGTCCTGCACAACTCCATCTGAACCTTTGTTGTCTTTCATATTGCAAATATGCTGGTCTGAGTGTTCATCATTTTTACATGTATTTGGATCAAGGCTTGGTCACTTGCATTCATAGATTTCTTTGTATCCAGCTTCTCATTCTTACTGCTAATTCTATTCCTTCATCTTTGTCAAATCTAATCTCTGATTTATCAGAAGAGTGATTTCCATCAGTGCCTTTTTTCCCGGCTTTGGAAGACTGACCTTTCTTGTTCCTTGCTCGACCTTTCTTGTTCTTTGCTTCTTTTCTCTTGCCACCAGCATGAACTCTGTACATTCGGAAATCCTTGATCTGTTCAAAAAGATTACGAGTGCAGGCATGAATATCAACACATGAATCTGTTCTTGATCGAGATGGCAAATAACCTGCTACGTCAGCCCAAGATCGTGTCTGCATCGTTTCAATTTGCACACAGGTCTCACTGTACAATTTCATTGAACATGGGGATTGCACACTGTATGCATATATAGCCAAAAGAGTTTCTACATAAGACTGCAAACTGACATCTTCTCTTTTCACATTCTTGTTTTCCTTACATACATTTTTCTTTCGGTTTCCATTTTTTTTCTCATGACTTTCATAGAATGTCTTCATTGCTTTGCCAATGTAAGTCACACCTGGTTCCAAGACTACACCATTCACTGATTTTCTTCTGATTTTCCTGTCTGTTTGATGATCATCTATTGATTTGGGATACAATTTTCTTGATTTTAGTTTCTCCACCCATTTCGTCTTCCTTGATTTCACAATTACCCAGTCAGTCATCCTCAAATTTTTCATTTTGCATCTCTTCGTGTTCTATTGGGATGGATTTTCCATAGCCAAAGGATTATGTCTATCAGACTCATTTGTTTTCCTGTCAGTTATATGATGTTGTGTTCCTCTCAATCGATTGTTTTTTTTTCCCCTTTTAACCATACCTCTTCTTTGATCTGCCACATTTTCTTTTGTTGGTCGTACTTGATAGGGTCCTTGATTGGTTCAAATCCAAGTAACAGTGTTCATCATGATCACCAAGAAGTTCGTATCTATTGAAATGAGAAGGGATACATACTTGATCAAACATGCGATGAGCGATGTTGTTATTTCCACACAAAGAACAAATCCAAATCAATCTCCTATCATTCAGTTTGTCTTCACAGGGCAGTTGCATACATGAAACATGAAAATGACTATTGCAAACTCACAAAGTGAACTTATGTCATTTCCGATCTCACTTTCACATATGCAGCATGCATCAAACTCTGAATTCATCAGCGGTGCACAAGTAGACAGTACATCTAAGATTTCATCAACAACTGTCTTGAATTCAGTAGTGTGTCTATCAATCTTCTATCATTTGTGTCATTGATTGTCTCCTTACATGGAAAACCCATACAAGTAACATGATAGGGACCAGTACATGACTTGCAAGTTACAGTAATCTCATCCTCTCCAATTAAATTCTTACAAACACAACATGTATCAGTGTATTCCTCCATCACAAAATATTTCGTACAAAGCTTTGAACTATAAGATTACAACTGCCCTTTTGCTTTTTTGCCAAGACAAGGTTTTCCGTTCCAAATTATCTTATACAGTGTATCTGTATTCAATTATGATGCACAATTGTAATTTGAAGTATCACTGTTGTCAATATCAATTCAAAATCTTTACTGAAATTCAGTGTATATCAAAGCCTGAACTATATACAGACTATTATGTTTTTGTTTCAAGATAAAAAACTCCTTTAGAGGAAGCCTTCTATTCGAGCTGTAATGTCTTGATCACCTCAAATTGCCTTGTAATGGTCTTTGATTTGCTGTTCAAAGTGTTTGCTTTTGGGGGGATTTCTTTATTTTTTAAAGTTAAATGTATGGATTATAGGTCAATGTATGTTGTATTTTGTATAATAGACAATGCAATATCTTGTCAATACTGTATTCCTTCTTGGAATTATTTCCTTTTAACAAAAATGAAAATTAATGCCTAGAAAAAATATATAGCTTTCAACAAAAGATGGCGCTCTTCGGCAATTGTGTTAAATATTAATCTAGAAGGTATTGATCGTGACGGAATTTCTCTTTATTATATTAATTTGCCTTGTGATGGCGCTCTATTAACAACAATCTGTATTAAAACTCTGTGTAAAAAAAGTCCCACTTTATATCCTAATTTAAATATTTTTCTTATCTTTCTAATCGATCAAGCCGATTTTATATTTATAAAACTATATTTATATCCCGATACAATGTTCGTTCTCAACCTCTCTGCAATCGGCTTACTTATAATACTAAGCTATGAACACTACAGGAGCCTATATCCAGACACAAATTTCTTTCTTTATCAATCAACACTTTTATAACAACCCTATATCAATACAAAATAGAAATGTGTTCTTCAAACCGTCGTCTCAGTAAAGACCAAAATAAATTAATACCTCGATGTAACTAAATTTCTGTTTACGATGTGTTTGGAAGTATTGTTTTTGCCTCAAGATGGCGCTCTTTAAAATAAATTTCTGTGTTCTGTTATTTTTATCGTGTAATTCCTCTACTTTCTCTCTGCTAGTACGAAGTGTTCTAGTTTTGCCTTAGTTGGTTAAAGTTATGTTTCTAAATTCAACCTTATATGCTAGAGGTAATATTCACAATTTTACTTTTATCAAATCACTCAATCAACCAACAATCAAAATATCTCTCTCACAATCGATTTCTACCAATTCAATTATTCAATCAATACACTTTTTTTTTCTCTGTACAATTTTCTCCAATATCTTAAACAAGCAATCACCAGTCAACTTTATTTTCTTCACTAAAAATCAACTCAAAAAAGAAATTTTCTTTTATTTATTGTTTATTAACACTCTTGTTGGTCTAAAGTTATGTTTCTATATTCACCTTATATGCTAAAGGTAATATTCACGAATTTCACTTTTATCAAATCACTCAATCAACCAACCAATCAAAAATATCTCTATCTCTCACAATCAATTTCTAACAATTCAGTTATTCAATCAATTCACTTTTTTTTCTCTATACACTAACAATTTTCTCCATATCTTAAACAAGCAATCAACCAGTCAGCTTTATTTCTTTCACTAAAAATCAACTCAAAAAGAAATTCTTCTCTTTATTGTTTATTAACACTCTTGTCAAATCTCGTTTCGTATCTTATTTTCTAGTTTTCACACAATTTCACACAGTTTGAGCAACACAACACAGAAATTGAAGATTCAATTTCAGAAAGACAGAGTAAGATCAAGATTGAGTTTCAGTAAGACAGAGTAAGATAATGAAGATTCAGATTGAGTAGATAGAGTAAGATAATAAAGATTCAGATTGAGTAGATAGAGTAAGATAATGAAGATTCAGATTGAGTAGATAGAGTAAGATAATGAAGATTCAGATTGAGTAGATAGAGTAAGATAATAAAGATTCAGATTGAGTAGACAGAGTAAGATAATGAAGATTCAGATTGAGTAGATAGAGTAAGATAATGAAGATTCAGATTGAGTAGAAAGAGTAAGATAATGAAGATTCAGATTGAGTAGATAGAGTAAGATAATGAAGATTCAGATTGAGTAGATAGAGTAAGATAATAAAGATTCAGATTGAGTAGACAGAGTAAGATAATGAAGATTCAGATTGAGTAGATAGAGTAAGATAATGAAGGATTCAAATGTTCAAGTTCGTAAATTCGTCAATATGTTCAAAATTGTAAAATTTCCTGACTGTCTACCACAACTCTTCTTTGACTCACCAAAGCTTAAGAGTGCTAGGGTTATTGTCGTGAGTTGCCCGCACACAGACAAGTTGCTGTCTACCACAACTCTTCTTTCTTGACTCACCAACCTAGCTAAGAGTGCTAGAGGCTTATTGTCGTGAATTGCCCGCAAACAGACTTTCCCTGACTGTCTACCACAACTCTTCTTTGACTCACCAAAGCTTAAGAGTGCTAGGGTTATTGTCGTGAGTTGCCCGCACACAGACAAGGTGCTGTATACCACAACCTTCTTTGACTCACAAAGCTTAAGAGTGCTAGGGTTATTGCGTGAGTTGCCCGCACACAGACTTTATGATATAATGAAGGTTTGAATGAGTGCTTTTCTCAAAAA